ATGTTTCAATCTACATTCTCCAAAAATTTGGCATAAATCGGTTTTTCTCCAACGAAGTTACAAACATTCAAAATCGCGATAAAATGAAGAATGGTTAATTTTTAAGGTAGATTTTTTTATATTTCTCAGTTGATAAATTTAAAAAAGTATTAAAATATTAAAATACTTATTATTTAAATAATTCTGATTTACTAAAATTAAATTACTTCGCCAAAAAAAATTGTTAAATATGATCGATTTTTGACATTTCATACAGAAACTTAAATAACATATTTTACAGTTTATTATAAATTATTTGATACTTTTATCAAGTTCACTGAAAGAATTTGATATGAAAATGCACGAGAAATGAAAAGAAAAAATTGATGAGAATTGTCAAAACTTGCCGAAGTTGAACGAATGAGTCTTGCCTGTGTGTGTAATTGTGTATGTTAAGAAGTATGTTTACTCACTACTGATTGCTACTGTTTCTTCATATACTTTTATCAATATTCAAAAATTGCGAATTTAAAATAAGAAATAATACTTTTAATTTCTTGAATATAGTTACTTTAAAAGCTATTCGTAAAATTATTTCAATCGTTGATATCAACCCTGAATGTTCTATACGTTTGAAAAATAAAATACTAAAATTTCCTTTCGGCTTTATCATATATTGTAAAAAAGATTCTTTCAGTGTTCAAAACACAAATTCAGTCTTTAAAAATAAATATCAGCCGCTTTTTTTATATTTCTTAAAGAGTTTTCTCCATTTTTAAATATTTTATAATGTCTGTCAATGTAACCTTTTTTCATGTACTCCCAATTTATAACATCTTTTTTTATATCAAATCAAATTATTTTTTACAAGTCATTGTGCATTTCGTAATCCCAAACAATCTACGAATATTTTCCCAAAGTATTAAAATTTTTTATAAAGGTCAAAAATACATTAGGCGAAATAAAATGGTTTGACCCACTTATATATGTAATTTAATTAGGGGTGGGATTTGGGGTGTGAGCGCCGGTTCTAACCTGGTGGTATTAGTTGCTTATAATTTTAGAAAACTTTTAGCGTTTTTAGTTTTCCAATATCCGAACAAGTTCACTTTATTTGGGGCACTTATATGTGTAATTTAATTAGGGGTGGGTTTTGAGGGTGTGAGCGCCGGTTCAAACCTAGTGGGATTAGTTGCTTATAATTTTAGAAAATTTTTAGCGTTTTTATTTTTCCAATATCCGAACAAGTTCCCTTGATTTGGGGCACTTATATGTGTAATTTAATTAGGGGTGGGTTTTGGGGGTGTGAGCGCCGGTTCTAGCATGGTGGGATTAGTTGCTTATAATTTTAGAAAATTTATTGCGTTTTTAGTTTTCCAATATGCGAACAAGTTCTCTTTTTTTGGGGCCCTTATATGTGTAATTAAATCAGGGGTGGGTTTTGGGGGTGTAAGCGCCGGTTCTTACCTGGTGGGATTAGTAGCTTATAATTTTAGAAAATTTTTAGCGTTTTAAGTTTCCCAATATCCGAACAAGTTCACTTTATTTGGGGCACTTATATGTGTAATTAAATCAGGGGTGGGTTTTGGGGGTGTGAGCGCCGGTTCTTACCTGGTGGGCTTAGTAGCTTATAATTTTAGAAAATTTTTAGCGTTTTAAGTTTCCTAATATCCGAACAAGTTCACTTTATTTGGGGCACTTATATGTGTTATTTAATTAGGGGTGGGTTTTGGGGGTGTGAGCGCCGGTTCTAGCATGGTGGGATTAGTTGCTTATAATTTTAGAAAATTTATTGCGTTTTTAGTTTTCCATTATCCGAACAAGTTCACTTTATTTGGGGCACTTATATGTGTAATTTAATTAGGGGTGGGTTTTGGGGGTGTGAGCGCCGGTTCTAGCATGGTGGGATTAGTTGCTTATAATTTTAGAAAATTTATTGCGTTTTTAGTTTTCCATTATCCGAACAAGTTCCCTTGATTTGGGGCACTTAAAAGTGTAATTTAATTAGGGGTGGGTTTTGGGGGTGTGAGCGCCGGTTCTAACCTGGTGGGATTAGTAGCTTATAATTTTAGAAATTTTTTAGCGTTTTTAGTTTTCCAATATCCGAACAAGTTCACTTTATTTGGGGCACTTATATGTGTTATTTAATTAGGGGTGGGTTTTGGGGGTGTGAGCGCCGGTTCTTACCTGGTGGGATTAGTAGTTTATAATTTTAGAAATTTTTTAGCGTTTTTAGTTTTCCAATATCCGAACAAGTTCACTTTATTTGGGGCACTTATATGTGTTATTTAATTAGGGGTGGGTTTTGGGGGTGTGAGCGCCGGTTCTTACCTGGTGGGATTAGTAGTTTATAATTTTAGAAATTTTTTAGCGTTTTTAGTTTTCCAATATCCGAACAAGTTCACTTTATTTGGGGCACTTATATGTGTTATTTAATTAGGGGTGGGTTTTGGGGGTGTGAGCGCCGGTTCTTACCTGGTGGGATTAGTAGTTTATAATTTTAGAAATTTTTTAGCGTTTTTAGTTTTCCAATATCCGAACAAGTTCACTTTATTTGGGGCACTTATATGTGTTATTTAATTAGGGGTGGGTTTTGGGGGTGTGAGCGCCGGTTCTTACCTGGTGGGATTAGTAGTTTATAATTTTAGAAATTTTTTAGCGTTTTTAGTTTTCCAATATCCGAACAAGTTCACTTTATTTGGGGCACTTATATGTGTTATTTAATTAGGGGTGGGTTTTGGGGGTGTGAGCGCCGGTTCTAGCATGGTGGGATTAGTTGCTTATAATTTTAGAAAATTTTTAGCGTTTTTAGTTTTTCAATATCCGAACAAGTTCACTTTATTTGGGGCACTTATATGTGTAATTTAATTAGGGGTGGGTTTTGGGGGTGTGAGCGCCGGTTCTAGCATGGTGGGATTAGTTGCTTATAATTTTAGAAATTTTTTAGCGTTTTTAGTTTTCCAATATCCGAACAAGTTCACTTTATTTGGGGCACTTATATGTGTTATTTAATTAGGGGTGGGTTTTGGGGGTGTGAGCGCCGGTTCTAGCATGGTGGGATTAGTTGCTTATAATTTTAGAAAATTTTTTGCGTTTCTAGTTTTCCAATATCTGAACAAGTTCTCTTGATTTGGATAATTCTTATTATTACCTATATGTGGTATTTACATAGGGGTTGTTTTGCACCCCGAATATTAAAATTTTTGTAATTTTTTGATTGATATTTGTTTTATTTACTATTCTGAATAAGATTATTGAAAAAAGTTCCTTATATTTAAAAAAAAAAATTTCGTTCAAATGAACGTTCGGAACTTTAGGGTCCTAAGAAATTTGTATTTCGAAAAACGACGTAATTTTTTTTTACAATTTTTTGAGTCGATTATTAAATCAGGGCATTTTTCCATTAAAGAAGGGCCATTTTTTAAAAAAAGGGATTTTTCCGAAAAATGTCAGTATTCAGAATCAGTTTAAAATTCGTTTCTAATTCACAAAATATTTGTTTCTCGAAAAATGATGCTGGTCTTGATAATTTTTTTTAACTGTTTTTAGTCTATTTTCAAATTAGGGCATTTTTTTATTAAAGAAGGGCTTTTTTATTAAAAGAGGATTTTTTTCCGAAACTAACTCAGAAACATTTTAGAATCTAATGATTTGGGAAAATTTTGCTTTTTAAAATCAATGCTGGTCTTGATAATTTTTTCTTACAATTTTTAAAGTCGATTATCAAATTTCGTCTTTTTTTCATTAAAAGGGCCTTTTTGTAGTAAAAAAAAATTCCGAAACAGTAATCAGTTTAGAATTAAAAAATGATTCAGGAAAAATTAGCATTTTGGAAAACGATGCTGATAATTTTTTTAAACCAATTTTTCTAGTCGATTAACAAACTAGGGCCTTTTTTTTATTAAAGATGCAACACTATTTAAAAATTTTTTTTGTATATTCAAAAATGTCCAACAAAAAATGTCAAAAAATTCAAAAATGTCACTTAGTTCCAGAATATTGTAAAAATATTACTTTAAATTTATTATATATAATTTTTTTAAGGATTGTATATTGCCATAAAATTGAAAAAATCGACAAGTTTCACTGTAAGTTAATTAAATTTCATTTAAATTATTTTAATTACTTTTAAAATCATTTGAATTATTTTTTTTACTTCAAATTATTTCTATTTCTTAAATTATTCAAATCAAGCAAATTTTATTTCTTGAATTAATCAAATTTTTCGTATTTCTTTATTATATACACACTTTTCTTAAGGATATCAAATTGAGACAAAAAACGTATCAAAACGTGCAACGTTTTGATACGTTTTTGATACATTTTTTGTCTCAATTTGATAACCTTAAGAAAACTGTGATGGCATTTCTGAAAATAAATTTTTTTACCCAATAAATAAATAGTATAAAGGAGATTGAAATGAAAAAAAAAAATGTTTGATATTTGAAGAAAAGTTGAAATAATTTTTTTTTCCTGAACCCCATTGGCAATTCCATTAACAGTTGACGTATCTTAATGATCTATATATGAGAGAAAGATCTGAACAAACTTCTTGGCGGACCTTTTCGTACCTTCATTTTTTTTCTTTTCTTTCTCTCTCTCTCTCTCTCTCTCACTCGAACGTGGCTCATCTATCATCAAAAACATGGCATTTTCTCAGTGAAAAATTTTAAAGTTCAAAACTTGGCAATGGTCAACTATTATTTGAGAGAGAAATTTTCTTTGTTTTTTTAATTCCTTTTTTTCCTTTTTTTGGGAAAATTTCTTGTTTTTCTTTCTAAATATCAATGTATTTAGTGATATTATTGAAATTCTCTTTTATAGTGTTAAAAACGTCTTTGATGTTGTGTTCCGATAATCCGGATCGGCTTTTCGCAAAAAAGCGTCACGAAATTGCACTTTAGAGTAGATAGGACGACAGTTAGACTTTGGAAGTGTCAAGAAAGTCAGTAAAAATAAAGAAGAGGAAAAAAGTATCAAAACAAAAAAAACAAATATATAGAAAAGAAAAGAAAATAAAAATGGTTTCAAAAAGGGTTAGGTACGCCCGGGCGCATTTTTCACGACGAAAACACATTGCATTACTCGCACGTCCATTGAAAGTACATTTGTATAAAGATATCAACATTTTAGTGAGTTTAAAATATTTTTCATAATCTTTTCTCTCCTTTTTCTATTTTCTAAGTATTTTTAATATTTACGTATTTTTATTATTTACAAATTTCTAATGTTTAAGTATTTTCAATTTCTATTTTGAATTTTTGATAGAAAAAAAAATTTTTTGAATAATTTGAAGTGCTTTTAATTATATTGTATATTAGGAGAATCCATTTACGGTGTCGCGAGCAGCCTTGAAGTTTCGTCCCACAAAACGCCTTAAAATCTTGGCAAAGCCAAAGTCTATTAATAAGAAATATGATTCTGCGTAAGAAACTAATATCGTCGAGAATTTTCTTTTGTTTTTTCTTTTTTTTTTTTGCAAAATAACGTATGGTAAGGATAAATATTTTCTGAAATTTTGTCAATAAAATATGTAATAATGTCGTGTTGTATATAGAATGAAAGCCCCGATATATTCTAAGGTCCCTCAAGCGGCGTTGAATGCCAAAGCAAGCAATCGTATAAAGGATCTTTCTCTTCCCCCGAAAAGGTATTTTTTATTAAATTTTTCGAAATTTATAATTTATAATATTTATATAATAATAACAATTTTATAATATTCTTTGAATTATCATAATTTGATGTACTTTTTTGACGATTTTGAAATTTTTTGTTGTTTGTTTCTTCAGAGTTGCCACAAAAATTTTATTTTAATTTGTCCTGACTTTTCCCTGATTTCCAGAGAGATCATTTAAATTCAATTTTTATTTTCTAGAATTTTTAACTAAAATTGTCCTTTAAATTAATTATTAGTTAAAAGTACGAAAAATTTATAAATCCAAAGATTTTAATTTGAAACCTTTTTCAAATATCAATTATTTTTGAAAATTAATGCCTTAATGTTTTTTAAATTAAAATTATTATCTAAAATTTTAACCGCAATTCATTTTGAAATAAATTTTTTTTTAGAAAATTCTACGAGAATTCAATTATTTGAATAAAAAACTAAATAATGTATTGAATAGTTGAATGTTTCTTAAAATTGAATTTTTATCAAGAATTTTATTAACAACTTTTCAAAATAATTAATTTCTTTTAAGGAATTTAATTAAAATTTCACAGAAATTTATTAAATTAAAGAATTTTATAAGAATTCTTGAAAATAATTAAAAACTTTTGAACAATTTTATAAAATTTTTAAAAATAATTGAATTTATGCTATAAAAATTTTATTAAATTTTGTTTAAATAATTGAAATTTTGCCAAGAATTATATTAAAACTTTTGAAAATAATTGCCTTCTTGAAAAGAATTTCGGAACCTATTTATAAAAATAACTTAATTCTTGACGAGAATTTTCCAACAATTTTGAAAATAATTTAATTTTTGCAAAGTATTTTATTACCTTTCAAAAAATTGAATTCTCGTGATGAATTTTTTTATTTATCAGAATAATTGAATTTTATTAAAATTCCTTAAATTAATTGATTTTTTGGAACAAAATTTGTTGTTTATCAAGATAATTAAATTTTTTTGCAGAATTTTATTATTTATGAAAATAATTGAATTCTTGCCAAGAATTTTATAGAAATTTTTTTAAATAATTGAATTCCTTCGACAAATTTGATTACTTTTGAAAATAATTATTAAATTCTTGCCAAGAATTTTATAGAAATTTTTTAAAATAATTAAATTCCTCCGACAAATTTGATTATTTCTGAAAATAATTGAATTCCTGCCAAGAATTCTATATTAATTTATGAAAATAATTGAATTTTTTTGGCAGAATTACTTAAAATTTTTTTTTAATAATTGATTTTCTACGACGAATTAAAAGTTTTTTTTATGAAAATATTGGAATTTTTGTAACGAATTTTATTATTTTATTGAATAATTGAATGTTTCTTAAAATTGAATTCTTTTTTCAAGTTTTAATACAATTTTTAAGAATAATTGCATTTTTTGAGGAATTTATTAAAAATTGTAATAAAAATATTTAAAATTCTGCGATGAAATGAATTGAATTCCTAAATGAAATTTTTATTATTTATGAAAATAATTGAATTCTTTTGCAGAATTGCGAAAAACTATTGAAACTACTACTTAAAATTTTGCAAAGAATTTTATTTAAATTTTTTAAAAGAATTGAATTTTTGGCGATAGATTATGCTATTTGTAAAGATAATTGAATTCTTGACGAGATATTCGTTAAAATATTTAAAAATAATTGAATTTTTTCAAAAAATTTTATTACTTTTGAAAGTAATTGAATTCTTGTGTTGAATATTGTTATTTATGAAAATAATTGAATTTTGCAAAGATTTTTATTAAAATTCCTAAAAATTATTGAATTTCTGTGAAGAATTTTTTTTTATTTATCAAGATAATTGGGTTAAAACTTTTGAAATAATTGAATAATATTTTAAAATCCATTGTGGTCAGAAACAGAAAAAAAAAATTTTTCCAGTACTTTCAATAAAAATTTCTGACTTTTCCCTGACTTCCCTGACCTGTGGCAACCCTGTTCTTTCTTTGTTTAGTTGTGATAAAATTACGATTTTTTGGGTCTCTAATTTCTTTTTTTGCACTTTGAGGGGTAAAAAGTAAAAAAGTCTATCTTTATACCCCAATCTACTCTTATAGTTACTAATACAGTCGAAATTTTACAGTTTTTCAACTTTTTCCTATGCTAATTAGTTTTATCTCCAACTATTAATTGAAATTTAGAGAAAAGGGGTTTTGTGTGTATAGTGTATGTGTGTTTTTAGAAAGGGGGTCACAAAACAATTTTCGAAACTTGAAGTAAACTGTCGCCATTGGCCTAAGTGGAGTGACGATGTTCCTCAAGTGACTTTGGAACTCATCGCAGTTCCGAGACCAAGTGACATTAGAAGTAGTTTCGCAAATGAGGCACTTACAATGTGCATATCACACGTGCATGTCTTTTGAAAGCCAACCCACATTCTCTCTCTTTCCTCTCTCTCTCTCTCTCTCTTTTCTCCATCTACACAAAACTGACATCTCAAGTTTCCAACACCACTTTTCGAAAATTTTCATAATTGTCATTGTTTTAAATGAATTAAAATTCCAATATGGAAACTTTAATTCTTTATAATGCAGATTTGATACAATTAGAAAGGGCACGAATAACGAAACTGGATGTTGGAGTAACAAATTTAGAAACAGATGTTAATATCTCTGTATTCATTCCTAATTTATTATCATCACAGTTTTCTTGAAAGTATCAAATTGGTATTAAAGTGCATCAAATTGATAGAAATTGTTATCAAAACTTTGGATCAATTTTTATTTGCTTCACATTTTTGATTTAAAATCAATTCGTTGCAATTTCAATATTTAGTATTTTCATGAAATTTCGCAAAAGAATTCAATTATTTTTAAAAAATTGATAAAATTCATCCAAAATTCAATTATTTTCAAAAATAATAAAATTTATACAGGAATTCAATTAATTTAAAAAAGCATTTTCAAAAAAATTTCGAAAAAATCAATTATTTAACAAAATTTTTATGCAATTCATCACAATAATTCAAATACTTTCACTGATATTAATATATTTTCAATGTAAATTCAATTTATTAAAAAAAAATTTGATAAAATTCTAAGTAAGAATTTAATTATTTTCATAAACAACAAAACTCATCGAAGAATTTCAATTATTTTTAATTCTATTTTCAATTAATTATTATAATAGAAAAATTCAATTATTTTCACAAATAAAATTTTCCACAAGAATTCAATTATTTAAAATAAAATTTTCATAATATTTACTATATTTCGTAAAAAATTAATTATTTAAAACAATGTTTATAAAATTCTTATAAAGAATTCAATTATTTTAAAAAATATTAGAATTTTTTACAGGAATTCAATTATTTTCAAATATTTGAATAAAATTGTTCGAAATAAATCAATTACTTTAAAATACAATTTTAATTAAATTTTTTTGAAATAATTCAATTATTCTTTTAGATTTTAATAAAATTCTTCCCAATAATTGAATTATTTACATAAATAATTTTTCGAAAGAATTCAATATTATGTCGATTAATAACAAAATTATTCCAGAAAATTCAATTATTCTGAGGGATTAATTAATAAAATTCATTGCAAGATTCAATTATTTTCATAAATAATAAAATCCATCGTAGAATTTCAATTATTTTGAATACAATATTGCAGGAATTGCTCAAAAAATGTAATTATTATTAAAAATATAATTTTCATTCCTTCGCGAAAAATCAATTATTTAAAGAAAACGTTTTTTTAAAATTCTTTGGAATTAAGAATTCAATTATTTACAAAAATATTAAAATTTTTCACATGAATTCCATTATTTTCAAATATTTTAATAAAATTGTTCGAAAGAAAATTAAATTAAATTAATCTTAATTAATTAAGAAAATTAAATTTTTTTGAAATAATTCAATTATTCTTTTGGTTTTTTAATAAAATTCATTGCAAGATTCAATTATTTTCATAAATAATAAAATTCTTCTCAAGAATTTAATTATTTTTGAAAATTTTAATAAAATTCATCGTAGAATTTCAATTATTTTTAATACAATTTTACAGGAATTTCTCAAAAAATGTAATTATTATTAAAAATTTAATTTTAATTCCTTTTTCCTTCGCGAAAAATCAATTATTTAAAAAAAGGTTTTTTTAAATTCTTTGGAATTAAGAATTCAATTATTTACAAAAAAATTAGAACTTTTCACAGGAATTCAATTATTTTTAAATATCTTAATAAAATTGTTCGAAAGAAATCAATTATTTTAAATACAATAATAACTAAATTTTTTTGAAATAATTAAATTATTCTTTTAGATTTTAATAAAATTCTTCCCAAGAATTCAATTATTTACATAAATAATTCTTTGAAAGAATTCAATTATGTCGATTAATAATAAAATTGAGGCCTTGGATCCAATAACTCGCCCGACGCTCGGAGGAACGCGCAACTGCCAGTCAGTGAGCAGTGAGCGCCTCTGGGCCACTCACTGCTACCCGACTGGTATTAGCGCGTACCTCCGAGCGTCGGGCGAGTTATTGGATCCAAGGCCTCAATTATTCCCGAAAATTCAATTATTTTGAGGCATTTTAATAAAATTAATTGCAAAATTCAATTATTTTCATAAATAACAATATTTATCACAAGAATTGAATTATTTTTAAGAGTAATAAATTTTTTCTTGGAAATTCAATTATTTTTAAAAATTCTAATAAAATCGTTGTCAAGAATTCAATTATTTATACCTACATAAATAATAAAATTCTTTTTAGGAATTCAATTATTCTCAAAAAAATTTAATAAAATGCCACACAGACATTCTATTATTCTCAAAAATTTTAATAGAATTCTTTGTTAAATTTAATTGAGGGGCTGGATGCTATAATGTGTTACGCGCCATTCACTTAACATGGCGCGTAACACATTATAGCATCCAGCCCTTCAATTAGTTTTAAAAACTTTTCGCAATGCAATGATTTTCAGTATCTACTATTTTTATAAAATTTTTAAAGCAGAATTCAATTATTTAAAAAATTTGTTGTAAAAATATTTGTAAGAATTCAATTATTTTCATGAATAATACAAATTTCTCAGGAATTGAATTATTAAAATTAGAATTTGCATAAAATTAGTCAAAAGAAATCAATTATTTAAAAAGTTTTATAAAATTCTTTGCAAGAATTAAATTATTTTTACAAATATTTAAATTCTTTCGCATGAATAATAAAATTCGTTGCAGGAATTCAATTTATTAGCAGGATGAGAAAGAAGTAAATATTTTTTTATGAAAATTAGGAAAAAGTCAGGAAAATAAAATATGGAATGGAATTTTTGTCAGTTTTGTTAAGTTTTTAAAACAAGTTTTTTTGGTGGTCAAGTTTTATTTTTCGATAGCTACTTTTTTACTCCTTTTTTTAGTATCAATTTGTTGCAATTTGATAATTTTTAAATTAATAGTAGTGATGTGATTGTTAGGTTTCAAAGTTAATTTTGTTGTCCACTTTCCTCATTAAATATTTAATAAAATTGAGCAGAATTTTTGTAAGCTAGTCTAGTAATTCAGTTTATTTTAAGGATATCAAATTGAGACAAAAGGCGTATCAAAATGTTGCTTCGCAACAATTTTGATACGTTTTTTGTCTCAATTTGATATCCTTCGAAAAACTGTCAATTGTGTAGTAGTAATTAGTAATTAGTAATGAAATATTAATTTTACATTTTTACAAAATTTTACAACTTTTAACAAAAGGTTGTAATGATTAATTTTAATTTTTTTTTTTGCTTGTCATTTTTTTATTAAATGATATTTTGATTTTTCTTATTTTTAAAAAAATAATTTCTTTCTCCCCCACTCTTTTTTTTCACAGTGCAGTGAATCATATACGAAAAGTGTTTTCCCAAAATAAAACGAAAATGGAATATATAAATAAAATTTCGCTTGAAATTCGCAAATCGAGATACCAAAAGTATCGACTTATTTGCAACACACTCCATCAGCAAGCATTCGCCAGGGAGTATGCGGAGTTTCCAGTTCGCTTTCGCTCGACTGCTCTCCTTCATTCATTTTGTCAAGGGACTTCCTCATGAAAAGCCCATTTCAAACCAGAGATCGGGAAAACGAATCTTCCAACTTTTCTTATCTATTTTTCCAACCCGTTTAGACAATTCTTCAATTCCCCCGTCAATACCACTTCGTCGCCATTTTACAAATCAGTATATTTTATATTTTTTTTTTCTTCAAATATATGTATATACATATATAGAATGTGGATGAATATAGTTTTTGCCTGAAAAAAAAATGTATTTGAATCAAATAAATTTCTTTTCAGTGCATAACAGTAGTAAGAATTATTTTTATTCACTTTTAATGATCCTAAAATTCTGAACATTCAAAATGAACCGAAATTTATTTATTCCTCAAATTAAATTTTGATTACAATAATTTTACGTTATTATTTACGTCATCTTTATCATGAAAATTAATTCTTGAAGTTTCTGAATGTAAAATTTGAGTTTTTAATTTTTTATTGCAATCAGAAGTTTATGGAAGTTTTTGAAATTTTAATAATTGACGGAGAGAAGTTGAGTTGATTGTTAATTATATGCATATATAATTAGCATATTTATATATTATTTAGTATAATATATTTATTAAAAAAAAATTCCTATTAGGTTCGCTTGGAGGAAGAAATTGAAAAGATTTTTAGAAAAACCATCTGATTGGGAGAGACACAATAAAGTTTTAGAACGACTCGCAAAACCGAAGAGAAAACATTTTCCACCAAAATTATCAGTATTCTAACTTTTAATATTCTAATCTAATTTTTTATCCTCTTTTCGTTTTATTTTTCCTTTTAATTTAATTTGTTTTCTATTCTAATAAAGTTTAAATAAATAAATATTTTTATTAAATAATTAGATAAATATTAATTCACTTTATTTTATTGTATTTTTTAATTTATTTAGTTGCAGTCAAACCTGTCGGAATGCAACTCTATTTAAAAAAATTTTTTGTATTAAAAAATGCCCAACAAGAATTAAATTCACTTAGTTCCAGAATATTGTAAAAATATTACAAAATTATATTACAATTTTTTAAGGATTGTCTACTGTAATGAAATTTAAAAAATCGAGTGTATTTTAATAATTCCGACAGGTTTCACTGTAATTTGAAATTAAGTAATAAAATAAAGTAAATGAATAAATTTACTGAATTGAATTAAATTGAATTGAATCAAAAATTTATTTATTTTCGTCTTTAATTACATTTATTATTTAATTTATTCTATCTATTTATTTTCATATTTAATTACATATTATTTATTAATTTAATTTATTATTTTAATCATATTTTAGTTTTAATTTAACATATTTTATTTCTCTTTCATGTGGAAAATACTTGATTTTATTTCACTCTCGCATTATTTTCATTACACATATAGAAAAGTTAATATATAAAATCAGTTGGAGAATTTTAAGCATATAAAATTATTAAAATGGCAAATAGAAAACAGAAAATAAGGAAAAGTTGATGTTTAAAAAAAAAACGCGTATACATAACTTTTAGAATGTTCGAAAAGTTTTAGATTTGTCACAAACTTTTTACGTGAGGAATTTTTCATATATGATGAACATTCCTTTTATACTTTGTATATGTAATATATGTACCTAATTATATAGAATAGTTTTTCATATTCTTGTTTTCTATTTTGTTCTTTTTTAATGAAAAAAAATTATATAGTAAAATATATAATAATTATATAATAAATACAACAAATACTAAATATATATTTATTATACTTATTATATATATATATATATATATATATATATATATATATATAATAAGTATAATAAATATATTAAATATAGAACATGTAAAAATATATGTACTATATTTATTAATTTTCATTTTATATTTTTTAATGTATATATAGCCTTTAAGAAAATCGAAAAAGAAAAGAAAATATAATCCAACAAGAGTTGAGAAATTGGCCCAACCGTTGACTAGAGAGGCACCTTCAAAGAAGAATGCCTTTAAAGTTAAATCCGGTGCTCTTAAATATGAAATGACCGATAAAATGAAAGAACTCGCGTATCGAATTTATCCCCGAATTTGCATAGAGCCTCGTATTCCCGGAAAAGTTACGATTTCGGCTTTAAAGTATGAGGGTAATTAAAAGAGAAATATTTCCTTCTATATTAATTAATAATTTACAATTATAATAATCTTCAAACATTAATTTTTAAATATAATAATCGTGAATCAATAATTTTTTATTAATAATCGTCAATCAATAACTTTTTAAATAATAATCGTCAATCAATCATTTTTAAATAATAATCGTCAATCAATCATTTTTAATTAAATAATCGTCAATCAATAATTATTCATTAAAACTATTCTAATCAGTAATTAATAATTAAAATTGTATTAAACGTAATTTTTATCTCGATTTTTATTGAATCAAACTTATTTCGTATTAAATCAAAATTATTATTGAAATGAATAAAAATTATTAATAAAATTAATAAATAATAATTCCTAATATTTAATTATTTTGAATAATAGCTAATGATCGAATACAGCAACTCGCGAGGCCGCCAAATAGACCACCGGGAAGGGAAACCGATTTGAAAGATAATGCCTTCGATGTTTCTCCAACAGCATTAAAAGCTTGGTGTTCGCCTGCAATTAAGAAATTGGCTAAACCTCGAATTCGTAAATAATTAATTTGTTACATTCAATTTTATTTGATTAAAATCGAAAATTATTTCCAAAAAATGGTATTTATTTGATAATAGAGTCAAATAATTCATTGTTATTCGATTCAAGTAAATTCTTTTTCTATTTATTATTGCGATTGTAATTTTTGTTATAGCAATCGAAATTAAGTTGCTCAAAAAATAATTGAATTCCTGTATAAAGAATTTAAAAATTTTTGAATTATAATAATTTAACTCTTTAGAGAAACTTTATTAAAATTTTATTGAAAACAATTAAATCCTGGAAAATAATTTTATCAACATTCTTAAAAAAAATTGCATTCCTTCGATAAATTTTCTTAAAATTTTTAAAAACTACAATTTAATTCTTTCGAGAAATTATATTAAACTTATCATAAAAATAATCGAATTTATGCGAATAATTTTATTATTTATGAAAATAATTGAATTCTTTCGAGGAATATTATTAATTTTTTAAATGAATAAATAATAGTAATTATTTGGTGAGTCAGTGAATTTAAAAAAAATTTTTAATCTTGAATTATATCGAAAAATTAAAGTTGTTTTTCAAATATTAAAATTAAAATTTTTGTAATTTGCATATAATTATAATAATAAATTGAATATACGTTTAATTAATTCATCAATATTTGAATTAAGTTTCATGCTCTGGCGAGTTTATATTTTCTAGTAAAATTATAAAATAAAAATACTATTTTTTATAATATATAAAAATAATAAAAGAAAATAATATAAAGTAGGAAATATACCCATTTTATGCATAATTTTTATTTCTCAATAACAATATTGTTTACAAACTCATTTTTTTCTTTTGTGAAGAGAAACATTAGATATTTCCATTTCTTAATATTTTTGTAGAAAAAATACTCAATTTTCATATATATAAGGAAATATTTTGCATCAATTCTATTTCTTAATTTCAAAATTCAAAGTTTTTTAAAAATAAAGGAAAAAATGTTTTTAAATTATATTTGTCAATTAGAAAATTTAGTTGAAAATTAAACTGAAAATTTTTAAATTTTTAGAAAATAAAGGAAAAAATTTTATTGAAAAAAATGTTTTACTAAATTTATTTACGAATACACAGGAAAAAAAGTCTGACTCCGTTTACACCTTAAATTCAGCTCATGTATTTCACATAAGTCTGTCCTTGTTTAACGGGGCTGACTCCGTTTACATCTTAAATTCAGCCTCAAAAAGAGGCTGAAAGTAAAACTTTTTTTTAGTGTGTATCTTTAATTGTAAAATATTGTTACTGTAATTCAATTATTTATTGAAGAATTTAATGTTTCTTAAAATGTAATTCTTATAAAGAATTTTATTAACAAATTTTTAAATAATTGAATTCTTTTGACGAATTTTAATAAAATTTTTTAGAAAAGTTACATTTTTCAAGGAATTTCATTAAAATTGTATTAAAAATAATTTAAATTTTGCGATGAGTTTTATTATTTATCTGAAAATAATTGAATTATTGAGAAGAAAGTTATAAAAAATTTGTAAATATTTGAATTCCTGGGAAATCTGTATTTTTTATGAAAATAATTAAATGTTTGCGTACAATTTTATTAAAATTTTTTTTAAATAATTGAATTTTTTTGGGTAATTTTATTAAAATAGAAGATATTGAAAATCATTCAATGAGAAAAATTTTTGAAAATAATTGAAATTTTGACAAGAATTTTATAAAAAATTTTGAAAATAATTGAATTTTGAAGAAGAATTTTATTATTTATAAAAATAATAATTGGGATTTTGTCGAGATTTTTTTGTAAATTTTGAACATAATATTGAATTTTATAATAAGAATTTTATTACTTTTGAAAATAATTAGATTTTTGCAATAATTTCTATAACTTCTTCAAAATTCAATTTTTTTAGTGTTTTTAACTAAAATTCTTCTATAAATCCATTATTTTTAATAATTAATTAAACATATTTTAACAAATTTAACTAATTTTAGAAGATTTTGAATTATTAAAATTTTTCAAAAATCTAAGTTCATTGAAATTTCTAATTAAATTCATTCAACATTAAAATTATTTTATAAAATTTCAAATTGAAACCGTTTGAAGTTTATTTATTTATAAAAATTGTAAACGCAACTCTTTTAAAATTGAATTAATTTTGAGATATTTAAGTAAAATTATTCATTGTTTTTATATTTATAAGAAAAAAATTGGAATTACAAATTTTTTACGTTCTATTATTTTTAAAATTGCTAATTTTATTTTAAAAAGTGAGCGAGAAGTCAGCGAGAAGTGTTGCTAGTAAATAAATTAATAATAAACACCTAATTACAAAATTCATAAATTTAGCTAATTATACAGACATAAGAATTAAAATATATAATTACAAGTATAGAATAAATTGTTTGTCATTAAGAAAAAAAAATTTTCGTTTTTCATTTATATATAGTAGAAGAGAGTGGATTAAAAAAAAAGCGCAGTAATAAAAAAAAAATGAGTGAGGTTGTCACACTGTAAGCTGCGTATATAGAAATTGCTTTTGTAAACGCGGTGATCTCTCTAAAGTTGAAACTTTCTTCATTTAGAGCAATGACATGAAGTTTTCGATCGTTTTCATATACACAGACGCGTTCAATCGTCAATGTCCAATCGAAATTGATGAAAGTGGAACATTGCAATCAAACGAAACAAACATGTATGATGCGCACATGTATATAGATATAGTATATGTATTATATATATATATATACATACATATGCATGCGCGCTCGTGCGCGAGTCATGAGTTTCTAGAAAAAGGTTTTCCCGAGTTTTTTTTTTCCTCTTTTTTTACCCCTCACTGATGCTACATACATGCTTTTTTTTGCAGCAGAATTCATTCGTAAAACTCTTTTTGAATAGATATATAGAGAGAAAGAGAGAGCACAATTGTGCCCTAGTATCATTGAGGGTAATCAAACTCCAATAATCAACTGTTATAACTTTTTTTAACTAGTATATTTTTTTTTCACTTCTCTCTTTCTCTTTCTCTCTCTCTCACTCTCTCCTTTTTTCTCTCTTTCTATACTATTTCTCTCTCTCTCACTCTCTCCTTTTTTCTCTCTTTCTATACTATTTCTCTCTCTCTCTCTCTCTCTCTCTCTCTCTCTCTCTCTCTCTCTCTCTCTCTCTCTCTCTCTCTCTCTCTCTCTCTCTCTCTCTCTCTCTCTCTCTCTCTCTCTCTCTCTCTCTCTCTCTCTCTCTCTCTCTCTCTCACTTTTTCCGCTTTTCTCTCTTTCTCCAGGTCTTGGATTTTATGACTTTTTCGACTTCTTTTCGACTATTTTCAAGAAATGCTGCTTTTTCCGACTTATTTTCAAAAATTGGGCTTTTTCCTCTTTTTTCGACTATTTTCAAAAAAAAGCTACTTTTTTCGACTTATTTTCAAAAATTGTGGCTTTTTCGACTTTTCTTCCAAATATTGCAACAAAATACCACATTTTTTGTATAAAATGCAACTTATTTCGATTTTCATGGTGCGTGGAAAATATAACCATGGACAAATCGTTCAAAAATTATTTTAGAATAATTTTTCAAAATTAAATTTTTAAAATTAACTATAATAATTTGAATTGATTTGAATGTTCTTTCATTCATTCACTTTTTCTGTCCCTCACACTCTGAAGTTGTCTTTTGTTTATAATTATGCAGATTTTTGTTCTTTACTTCTAAACAAAATTAGAAAATTGTTAAACAACTGTGATTAAGAAATAGAAAATTTATTTATTTTCCATTATTTTTGTTTATTAATCACAATTTTTTTAACAAAAAGTTAAAATAAATAAATAAAATAAATAATAATAAATTATTTATTATTATTTTGTTTTAGAAAAAGAAGAAAAATATTTGCACAATTTCTATTTGTAATCTTTATTTTAGGAACAGGATTTTCCACAGGAATTAAGATATTCAAAATTTTTTAATTCAACCTTTTTTTAAATTAAACAACTTATAAAAGTATTTGTTATAAAACATGAAGACATCGATTGCTCCGAGTCGAAGACTCGGATAGTGATCGGTTTCTTCATGTTTTATAACAATTCAAAAATGACCGAGAGATAAAATCATTATTTTACATTAATATAAGAATATTGTTACTGCAACTTCATCAAAATTATTTTCATTATTTTAATTCAATTATTATTTTTTAGAATTTTAAATTATTTTTTATGAAAATAATAAATTGTATTCCTGTGAAATTTTTATTATTTATGAAAATAATTAAATGTTTGCATACAATTTTATTAAAATTTGTTTTAAATAATTGAATTCTTTTTGGGAAACTTTATTGAAATAGTAGATATTGAAAATCATTGAAATTCGAAAAAATAATTTTGAAAATAATTGAAATTAGGACAAGAGTTTTTTTGACATTTATGAAAATAATTGAACTTTGGAGAAGAATTTTGTTATTTACTCTCTATATCTGAATTAGTGCGGATTCGTTTACCAATTTGAATTAGTAACATTTTTTACTAATTTTTAGTAGTTTTTTACTAATTGCTAGCAGAAAATTACTAATTCAATTAGTAGAAAGAATTTTTTACTATTTCAAATTAGTAAATTTTCTACTAATAATTAGTAAAAAACTACTAAAAATTAGTAGAAACAGTTACTAATTCAATTGGTAAACGAATCCGCACTATTTTATTAGTAGAAAACTACTAATTCAGATTTAGAGAGTATAAAGATAATAAATTGGGATTTTTACGAGAATTTCTTTTAAATTTTGAACACAGTTGAATTTTATATTTTTATAAGAAGAATTTTATTTTTCTTAAAAATAATTAAATTTTTGCAATTATTTTTAATTTCTCCAAAATTGAATTTTTTTAGTGTTTTCAACAAAAATTTAAATTCGAAAATTTTTAAATTCTATTATTTTTAAAATTGCTAATTTTATTTAAAAAAAAGGTAGTAAGAATTAAATTGATTAAATTTAATTAAGTATAAATAATTTGAAACTTGTAAAATTTAATTGAATGCAATTATTTTTGTTCAAGTATTTTATTAGAATTTTTTTTAATTAAAAAAAATAATTGATATTTTGTAAAATTTAATTGAAAGAAATTGTTTTTTTTTAAAAGTATTTTATTACAATTTTTTGAAATCAACTTTTGAAGAATTTTAATTCTAAATTTTGAAAATAATAATTGAATTGTCAAAAATTTTGGAGAAAAATTTTCAATTGTAAATTTAAAAATGAAAATTTGCTTGTAAAAATTATATGAAAATATTTTTGGAAAAAGTAAATTCTCAGAATTTTTTCTTCCATGTTTTGAATTTTTTCAACTTTTAAAGAATTTTAATTCCAAATTTTGTAAATAATAATTGCATATTGAATTCTCAAAAATTTTGGGGAAAATTCTTCAATTGTAAATTTAAAAAAGAATATATCTTCAAAAAATTAATTATTTTTTTTCTAAATTACACCTACAAAATTCCTTTTAAGAAATTTAGTTATTTTCGTAAAATTACATTAGAATATTTTTCAAATATAATTCCTACAGAATTGTTTTATCATAATTTTTTAAGATTAAATTATTTTTTGAATAATTGAAATTTGGAAAATTTAATTGAAAATAAGTTCGATTTTTCTCTAGTATTTTATTACAATTTTTGCAAATTAACTTTTGAAGATTTTTCATTTCAAATTTTGAAAATAATTGAATTCTCCAAAAATTTTAATAAAAAATTTTCAAGTGTAAAAATGTAAATTAATGAAAATTAAATTCTAAAAATTATATTAATATATTCTTTTTTAGTTTTAGAATTATTTTTAACATTTTGGAGAAAAACAATCATGTTAAAAATTTTTAATTAAAATTCTTCAATAAAGTAATTAGTTTTTTTTTAATTTAACAAAAATCCTCTTAAGAAATTCGATTATTTTCGAAAAATTACATTATAATGTTTTTAAGAAGCTAATTCTTTGAATTTTTTTATTATAATTTTTTAAAATTCAATTATCTTCGAAAAGAGAAAATGAAAATTAAAAGAAAAAATTTTTTTTGACTTATTAAATTTTCGGAGAAATTATGAAGTAAAATTCTTCAAGAAATTGATTATCCTTCTTTTTTTCAAAAATTCAATATTATTTTCAAACGATTTTACCAAATTACAATTGTTTGAAAATCTTTTAATTGTATATAATTGAAAAATTATTATCTTCTTTAAAAATTATTTAAAAATATTTTTAAAAAATTAATTTTAAGAATTTGTTTATTGTAAATTATTTTTTAAAAATATTATACTTCGATAACTTTAAAAAAAGAACAGTTACAGTTACAATTATTCTAAAAAATTAAATTTTTGTATTTAAATAATTGAATTCTCGTAAAGAACTTGTGGAAAATTATTAAAAATTAATATAGATAATAATTGATTTAGAGGTGAAGTTTTAGTTATTAAAAATTATAGAAAATAATTGAAAAGATTTTTGTAAAGATTATAGAAAATTTTAATAGTTTGGAAATTTTTCAATTTTATAATTACATAATTGAAAAATTATTATCTTTCAAAAATTATTTTAAAATATTTAAAAAAAATTAATTTTAAGAATTTTTTTATTGTAATTTTTTGAAAATATTATTTAAAATAACTTTTTTAAAAAAAAGACAGCTACAGTTACAATTATTATAAAAAATTGAATTTTTGTATTTAAATATTTTAAATAATTGAATTTTCGTAGAACTTTCGGAAAATTATTAAAAATTAATATATAGATAATTGATTTTTTAAATTTTATTTCCCGTGAAAAAATAAATGGATGAGAAGTATTTAAATATTTAATATTCAACAAAATTATTCAAGTTTTGAATAATTGAATTTAAAAATCAGTGAAAGGTCAGGGAAATACGAAAAAAAAATTTGTAGCAACACTGAATTAAATAAATAGCGACTTTTCCCTTTTTTTGTATATTTGTAATTTATTTTAATTTAATTTAATTAAATTTTAACTTTTTTCTGCACCTTAAAGTCGATCCGAGATGTGTTTTTGTCTCTCGCACTCTTTCCCTATTGTCTCATCAGTGGGACCTATGAAACTGCGAAACCATATAAAAATCGTGGGTGCAGATAGAAAAAAAAGAGAAGAAAAAATTGTACTAAAATTCAAGTCGAAAACAAAGTTTTTTAATATCACTGCGCTGTAAACGAAGACCGAAGCCAAAAATTTGCACACACAATTTTTATTCTACTTTTTTGGGGAAAAAGAAATTTTCTCTGTATATATGGAAATTTACAAATGGAGTGGGGGAAATAAAATTACTTTTGATGAATTTTTTTCCATTTCTATATATATATATATATATATATATAGAGTTCAATATATATAGAAAGAATGAGAAAACGAATTGGAAAATTAGATTTGATATCACTTGTCGAATTGTGGTGGCTGCAAAGATCAATGTTTATCTAATAGAGAAAATATACTTTTCTGCGATCTTGATAGCGTTTTATGGTTCTTTGAGAGAATTCACGTTCGCGGGCAGGATTCGACCTACACTACATATATATACAGTCAACATTGACATTTTGTCATCATTTCTCAGCAGTCACGTATTTCAAAAAGCAGTACTTTCATATATAAGTATATATACTTTTTAAAAATATTTTTTTCTTCTCTTTATTTTTTTAGAAATAAGTCCATTAGTT